CATCTGATTTTAAAAATACTGTGGTGCATTTTTTATTTTAAAAATACAGCAGGGCACATCTGATTTAAAAAAAGTCAGTAAAAAAAAATTTAAAAGCATGTTCCAAGTCCTTGCTTGTACCAGATGTACGAGGAAGGGCCAGTCTACATAGGACCAGGTTATTCCATATTCCTCATTACCAGGAAAGTCCAGTTTCTGCCATACGAGGTTGTTCCAATTTTAGGAAAAAAAATATGTTGACGATTTTATTCCATTTCAGCAACAACAAAAAATTCGAAAAATACGAGGTTATTCAGGTTATTCCTGAAGATGATATTCCTGACGAAATTAAATCTCCACCACATTATTCCAGCTTGACCAGGTTAGTCCTGGCGACGTTATTCCAGCCACCCCATTTTTTGTCTCACTGCCCCCCCCCCCCTCCCATAAGCATTCCTAACATACGAATAATTTTTGAAAGAGAGGATTTTCAGGAGAATTTTGAATAAGTTTTGTGCTTGATTCCAGCTTATGTTCCAAGAACCAGTCACCACGCACCGGTCACATTTTGACTGGGAAAGTTGCCATTAGGGCACATTTTGAAGAAAAGAGTACAGGAACCTAAAATTACTCAACCGTAATTCAGCAGAAAATACGGTAAGGGTATGTAAGGTTTCGTTTTACCTTATTTTGAAAAGTTTCTTCGTGAAGCCAGTTTAGAAGACGAGAACATTCTCTAGTGCGAAAACGTGCGTCTTTCATCAATTCCCACGAATCGGTTCATCTGCTGATGTGAAAATATATGAAAAACACACAAATCAACATTTCGTTTCGTTACGATTTTCAAAAAAATTGGGGAAAATCAAGAAAAGCCGGAGCAAATGAATGTGCCAAATAAAATAAAATAAGGACCGGGTAAATTTGCTGTGATGGTAAATTTGCTGTGATGAAATTTGCCCCAAGATACGAAACCTTGGGGTGAACTTTGGGGGGGGGGGGGGGGGGGTGGGTGGCCTGTAGGGGGGGGGGGGGGGGGGGGGGGGGGGGGGGGGGGGGCGTTCAGTCACCCGTTGAGCAAATATTTTGCATGACAATGCAATCGCCGACCTTGACATTTCTCGTGTGTGCAACATGACCACTGCATACTTTCGCTCAGTAGGATGGATGGGAACTCCAGCAAAAAAAAGAAGATAGCCAGAATGAAAAAAAGCATAAATTTACGTTATCGCAGTTACAGTGACTGATTTCTGTGGCTGACTATATACTTTCTTCCAAGACTTTTCCGCAGAGAAAAAAGTTTCTGCATCCTTGAGCTTACATTTCACTTATTGCTTGAAAGGCAGCGGCTGCTGCTGATTCTTGGAAGATATAATAAAGCTGCGGGTTTTTTTTTCATATATTGAAATTTCTGAATATTTAGACTGGATCACTTGAAAACAATTAAATTATTTCCCTTAAAAAATACAAAAAAGCAGCATTATTCAGATTCGAGATACCTTCCTGGTTTGTACCTATAATCTAAAAAATGTGCGCCTCTTGTTCTTCTTCGCTAAGTATATTTGAAATTTTAGTGTTTTAAAATAAAGTAAAGGTTTAGGAGCTGGGTTGATGGGCGACGGACAGCAGCAAGAACCCCCGTACTTTGTCCTTGGTTTGAAGATGCGTGTGAACTCAGCTGATTTGAAAAAAAGGGGGACGCCTCTCGTTTTGTGTTACTTTGTAACCTGTCTGCCCCCCTAAAAGTGAAACAGAAAGTTCGAAGGACAAAATAATTAAATCGTTTGCCCTAAAAAGTGTCTAAAAAGGACAGAAAAATACCTGGCAAATAAGTAACTGATGGATAACGTATGCTTTGATATCTCTGTTGGACTTTGCTAAATATAACCTTTTTTCGAAGTTCGACATTGCGATCACGGAATTATGCGCATTTTTCAGCGTTTTTTATCCTCCTTAATCCAAACTTTATGGATCAACCTCACTTAGTCTACATTTTAAGGCGTTTTTTAAAATTATTTTTGAACTAAATTATAGAACACCTGTTCCAAATGGCCAAGAAAACAAATTGAAGTTATTTTCATACTGATTTTAAAAAGTATTCAACAACTTCCTGCAGGTTAGATATCTTGTCAAAAATTTTTTTTGAAAAATCTGGAAAAAATGACAAAAATCCCTGAACTAAAATCTGTCCAAAAGGAATATTTTAGAGATGCTTCAAATTTGACTTGGAATTTCAACAATATTTTATTTTTTACAATTGCTTTGAAAATTTGAGCACTACACTGTAATTTAAAAGGTCCACAATCACCAAAATACTGTACTAAAGATTACTCTTGGCATGAACACATTAATAAGCAACGTTTTACTGGTGTAAAAACTTGAAGGTCAGCAACTCTGTACTGTACTATATTTGGAAAAACCCCTTAATGATGGTAGTCCAGTGTATTCATGGTTAAAATGTGGCTGTAATGATATAGCCATTGGTATTACCTATGTTTAGCTGGACAAATTCTGATTGACTTGACTGTTGCATGCCCCAGGTATTGATCAATTGAACCTAACTAGATTTTTTTTTAATTCTAAAGAAATTTCCCCCCTTTCCAGGGACCATTATTGGGATGTTTACCTCAAACAATATGTCAAAAGAAAACTCCTATAATTATTGTGAAATTATGTGAACTTCGATTAATATTATCCATGGCTGTTCACGGTACAACTTGACCACCCGGACAAGTTATGCAGCTGGACACATGAGCCCAGACCAGTACTGAGCAGCTGGTCTCCCCCCTTCTCAAATTCATTCAAAAAGACCTCACCCCTCTCGGCAAAATACGAACCCCCGCAGAGAACTTGGACGGTTGCCCAGCCCCATTGCCAGTGAACTACCCTGACAAACAGGAGAAAACAACACAGATTTTTTATTTGGATTTTCACTTTCCGAATAACGCAGGAGGGCGGAAAAGGACCGAAGGAGTGACCAATACACGGGATCTGCTCTAAAGAAGGCGAGGAAAGGTGGCACACGCTGAACATAGTTTTAGACTTTCTGGCTGTCGGTGGAAAATATGCCAGCTGAAGGAGCGCTGGTGTTGAATTGTATATGTACAATTCAACACCGACCTGCAGTACTTAGTTCAGACCACCCATCACCAACTGCATGATGCGTTCAGGCAGCAGGAAGCATTTGACGCGTGGAAGACAGAAGAAAACAGGAAGCTCTCGTCCAGCATGAACAGGAAGCTGTTACCGCAGTCGCCAAGCATGGGGGAATTCGTCTTCCCCCTTCTGTCTTCCTTCAGAATTCATTTTTCTTTTATTGATAGTGCTTTATTCTATACTCCCCCATACTTACGAGTCCAGCGCGTTTAAATAATTTTTTTTTCAAGCCCCTTTCTGTTCGGCTACAGGCATGTTCTGCTACCATTGGGACCATGGATGAAATTTATTTTCAACCGTGAGAAATTTGTAAAATAAAACTTTTCTTAAACGCCGCACACAATACTGTTTACAGCCAGTTTTCAAAAGAAACAATATTCCTCAAGTTCTGCACCATGTAGGAAGACGAGGATTCACACGCGACTTCATCAAACTTTTAACAAATCAGAATCTTCAAAATTCTTGAGAATGTCGGTTCATGCACCATCACACCCAGGACCAAATTTTGGACAAGATTAAAACGCATTCAGCACCTGCTGTACCCATTAGAGCATTGAAAAATGCAAAATACAGTACAACATTTTCAACATGAAAAGCCCTCGAGAATTTCATTGATGCATAATACTCACCTGCTATTACCAAAAAAAAAATCACATGCCGATCTAGAAAATACTGTACATCGAAATTTAGCACACGTTTTCCAAAAAAACGCAACAGATTTACTCCTTCAACATACACAGCTACTCAGCATAAGTATCAGATGGAACATTTATAATCAAGACACTCTCAAAATATAGAATAAAGCCAATGAGATACACCATATACAGTACTACAATAACATGAAGCCTTTGTATCGCGTGAACGAAGAAATTAAATCCAGATCAAGTCGAGTTTTGGAATTAGCAGCAAAAGGGTTGTGCCCGGTAGTTGAAAAATAATTCTCCGAATGCGATCATAAATACTGCCAATGACAGATAAACCGATTGAAATCAAAGTCTTGCAGAAAACAGCATCATGGGCAATTTCCTAACTTGACAAGAAAACAAAAGTTTGACGATGCTATGCGTCAGTAGATAAACGAGAAAAAAATTCATCTCAATTCACCGCATTTCCGCAACGTCGCAAGGGCCTCTAATCATGGAATTTCAGCTCTTCCCTTTCAAACTGTAAGGATTAAAACGATGATTTTTCGATCGTCTGTCTTCTGGAAACCCCCAAAAAATCCTCGAATTTCCGGGACACTTCCAATACACCACAACGTACAGAGTACCAAAAAAAAAAAAAAAAGAAACCCAGAAAATCTGGTACTTATTTCCAAGAACTGCACACACATTCACACAAAATACAAAAAAGCCCAGGAGATAACGTTACAAAAACTTCACGTCCCCTCTTCAAAAATTTATTTTCCGTTCTAGCTTGTTCATTGCGCCGGCGGCGGCGGTGGAGCAGCGACGGGTGCTGGAAGTGGTGGCGGGGGTTGCTGCGGCGCCGGAGACGAAGCCGGAGGCGGCAGTTGCTGCGGAGAAGGAGGCGGAGGGATGGCAGCAGGCGGGGGGAGAGCCGAAGTTGGAACAGGAGGAGCAGCAGGAGGAGGAGGTGGACCAGAGACAGCGACTGGACCAGGAGGAGGAGGAGGAGCAGCAACCGACGGAGCAGGTCCAGTTACTGGTGGCGCACCAGGATATCCTACGGGCGACATCTGCTGCTGCGGCGGCATGGAATGCTGAGGATGTGGCGGCCCAGCAGGAGAAGACACTGGTACAGGCGGCGGAGGAAGTTGCTGCGGATGCATTCCCTGGTCCATGGGGTGTTGTTGTTGTTGTTGTTGTTGTTGTTGCGGTGGTGCTTGCGGCATGGGCGGCTGCTGATGTTGCATCGGGTGCTGAACACATTCGGAGGAGGAATACATTCAACGATTTGAATACAGTAAAATCTCGTTACAACAAACTTGTGGGGACTTTCAAAAAAGTTTGTTATAACAAATAATTTGTTGTAACGAGATTTTCAATATTAATGACTGGAAACAGTTTTTTTGGCTCAGATCTGCAAATATTCAGAATAAAGTTTGTCTTTCAGTTTCAGAACTCTCATTATTGATGTAAAAAATCAGTAATTTTCTTTTGAACAAAATTCTTGTTCACTGCTGCCAACAATGCAAATATTCTGGCAAAGAATTTTCAATGATTTTTTTTCACCCTGTAAATCCAGCTTATAATCATTACTGTAAAGACACTCAGCAAAAAAAGCAAGTGATGGAAAAAATGCACAAAAGTTGAAAAGCACACAACTTAAAATGACCATTAATTTGTGTGGCTTGATTATGTGATCAGTAATTTTCACCAGAACTTTTTTCACACAATTCTCACTATTCCGCAGCATCCAGAACCGAAGTGTAAAACACTTAACTGTGTACAAAAAAAAAGGATGTTGAACAGTCACTGTCCCAGGATGGACTGGAACCTCATGGAGCAATTAATGGTGCATGCATTTTCGAAATCTTTTCAGAGGGCACATTCACTTTAATTCTTTAAAAGTCAAAGCTGAAGAACTGTTCCCAGGCAGGATGTTTGGATGAATTCTGTGGACTTCCTGGTTCATACAACGGTTCTAACAAAAGTTCTTGGAGTAGCAATGAAAATGGCCTAAAATTAAGCTGAAAGAAATTTATTCTTCAGGGAAAACATATTCTGTGACACACAAAAAAATATCAGCCCTGTTTCAGAATTAAAAAAAAAATTTAATTCAACCTGGCAGAGTTTTGCTTTCCACTTGAAAGATAAGGTGCCCTTTTTTGTTGAGGCCCATCTTTCCCCTCAGAATTTTTGAAATCAACTTGGGATTATTTCCAAGGGCTTCCTCCAGGTCATGCAAGGCAATTCCGCCATTTTCATCCAACAGCCACCTTCACAGATGCCACATTGGCTTCCACTTTGGTGGCTGTGAAGGCGGCTGTTGATGAAAATGGCGGAATTGCCTTGGATGACCTGAAGGCAACCCTTAGAAAGAATGCCAAGTTGATTTCAAAAATTCTGAAGGGAAAGCTGGGACACATCAAAAAAGGGCGCCTCATCTTTTGAGTGGAAAGCAAAACTCTGCCAGGAAGAATTACAAAATTCTTTTTAACAAATTGAAAAACAGGGCTGATATTTTTTGTGTGCCAAAAAATGTGTTTTTCCCAACAAAAACTTTTTTCAGCTCAACTGCAGGCCATTTTTTTGCTACTCTAAGAACTTTTGTTAGAACCCTTGTAGTTTGATTTGGTAGATTCCAGAAAATGCATCCTACCAAAGTCAATTAGCAAGGTTATTCTTATGAAACAGGTTTTCTTTTTTGGGCATCATTTCTGTACATCTACCAGAAATGGCAGTGTTTCCATGAACCCCAAGATGTCCAAACAATCCTACACCCCTGGCAAGGGACTTCTTGCAGTGTTCATGGGCAGTTGTTTTAATGAGAGGCAGAAAAACTCTCTCTCCTGGGTGGATCCCATCAAGATTTTGAAGCATTTCTGTCCTTTGTCAAAACCTACTTTTATTCAGGCTTCAATGATGAGTTTTTAAAAAATTTTCCACAAATTTCTTTCTAATTATTCCACAAAAATGAAAATATTTTCTCAAAAAAAGTTTGTTATAACGGAATTCCCAAGTTTGTTATAACGAGATTTCTTTAACATATGGTCTATGGGCTTTCTGCCGGGACTTGAAAAAAAGTTTGTTGTACTGTAATGAAAAATTTGTTGTAACGGTATTTGTTGTAACGAGATTTTACTGTATTCACAATGGTACCACGGATAATGGACGTCTCGCGTATGTGGTCTTTCACGCAAAAAAAACTTACTGTCATCGTTTTTGCTTCAAATTACAGTCAGACCTCTCCAACTCAAATTTCAAGGTTCCAACAATAAAATTCGAGTTGCGGCGGTTTCGAGTTACGGAAACAAGTATTTTTGCTTTAGGTCCATGGGGTGTTGTTGTTGTTGTTGTTGTTGTTGTTGCGGTGGTGCTTGCGGCATGGGCGGCTGCTGATGTTGCATCGGGTGCTGAACACATTCGGAGGAGGAATACATTCAACGATTTGAATATTCACAATGGTACCACGGATAATGGACGTCTCGCGTATGTGGTCTTTCACGCAAAAAACTTACTGTCATCGTTTTTGCTTCAAATTACAGTCAGACCTCTCCAACTCAAATTTCAAGGTTCCAACAATAAAATTCGAGTTGCGGCGGTTTCGAGTTACGGAAACAAGTATTTTTGCTTTGGGAAAGAAAGAAGAGTTGCAGATATAATCATAAATGTGGTGCTCTGGGCCTTAAATTGCTTCTTCAATGAGTTGACAGGGTGCTGAACTTGGAGGCATGGGTTCAATTGCCCAATTGGTCTGTTACTTCCTTTCAAAACACATCGAGTTGCTTTTTACTGCTTTTGTCTTTCCCGTGTAAAGAAAATAATAGCCAGAAGTCCTCAGAAAATTCCAGCTATGGAGGCTTGAGATGATGCGGGCGAAATTGGGAATGAGAAGAGCAAAAATAAATTACCATAATCAAAATTCAGCTTCTCGTCATTCATAGTTCCATTAAAGTTTGTCTTGGAAAATCAGAAAAAAAATGGTTGTTGATGCATTAAACCACGTCTTTTGATGCATGACAATGCATATAGAGTTGAACTTCAATGTTCTCAGAAACCACGAAACGCGTCCAACACGAGGATACTCGTGGTTCACGGGCAATGCATAAATCAGTTGTTCATTAGGAACTGACGACGACGACGTACCTGCGGAATTTGTTGTTGAAGCGGATGCGGCGGCATGACGTGAGGCTGCATCGGCATTCCCGGATGCGCTTGAGCATGTTGTTGCGGCAACATCGCGTGCATGGGCTGCGAAACCGGAGGCGGTGGAGGCAACGGCTGCTGCTCAACCTGTGCACCGTCGGGCATGACGCCGGACTGCTGCGCCACCGGAGGCACCATCATGTGATGCATAGGTCCGACACCAGCCGGCGGCTGCTGCTGCTGTTGTTGTTGTTGTTGTTGTTGTTGCGGCGGTGGCGGGCCGCCATGCATCTCCGGCTGCTGGTGCTGTGGCGGGGCGTGCTGGGAATGTTCCATGTGCGCGCCTGAAGAGCAAAATAATTTTAACTATGGCTCAATTTCCAGCACAGAAGTTGAAAATATAAGACTTTCCCTCCAACATTTTCTTAAGAATTATTTTCTGTTTGAGTAGCATCTCGGACTATAGACGCCTCGCACAGATTTTTAAAATTTTCACATACAACAACATTCCCAAAAGTAAAACATGCATCGAACACAGGTATCGTATGAGATACAAGCAAGTATAAATTACCGGATGGCGGGGAGGGTTGAGCTTGAGGCGGCATTCCATAATGAGGCGGGATCTTCTGCATCTGCGGAGGGCCCGGGTGTATTCCTGGAGGCAGTTGTTGCTGTTGTGGCGGAATTTGCTGCGGAGGAAGTTGCTGGGGGGGTTGTAGTTGTTGATGCTGCTGTTGTTGCTGAGGGGGCAGCAGCTGTTGTTGCTGAGGGGGCAGCAGCTGCTGCTGCTGAGGTGGTTGTTGTTGCGGTGGCGGCGGTGGCTGCTGCTGCTGTGGCGGCGGAATCCCGGATTGTTGCGGTGGAATACCAACCGGCTGTGGAGCAGCATGAACAGGGCCGCCTTGAGCCAAGGAAATCTGGCAAGGAATACACGTCCATGACGTTCAGATTAATTATTCCAGTGAAAACACCAAATACAGGTAGAATCCTTTCACAACGGTTTCCTTTGTACTGCATAATGATTTTTGTTGGTTCTATAGGGGTCTCTTACACATATTATAGACTCACAGAGGTTCTCTACAGCGGAAGTCCCTCTACAACGAATTTCTCTTAGCCCCCTGAATTTCAGTGTAGAGATTACCCGTGTATTCCCAAAAAGAAATTTCGAGCGTTGAATCGAAAATTTTTTTTTCCTAAAAATTGAGATTGAGCACTTATTTCAAAACAAGGTTTTGCTTCAACCAAAAAATGGAACTTTCCTGTGCTTCAAAGTTAATATTTGCTACAAATCCAGCTGTAATTTTGCCTTAGCCATTCCACCACTGATATGCAAGATTCCCACGCCAGAAGTATCAAAATTTCAAAAAACTATAAAATTTGATGCTCAAAGAGGAAAAGTTTGAAGACGTTTACAAACTTTTCCCTCGCGAGAAAGTCATCTTTCAGGAGCATTTTCTTCAACATTTCTTGAACTGCTGTACTACAGCGAGAGTTCTTATTGCAAATAACATCATGGATACCAAACTGCACCAACTCGATAAGTTATTTAAATTTTACAATCGCATTAAGCAGCCAGAAATGTTTAGACAGATGGCGGGGAAAACTATCTTGCAAGACATTTTCAAGTTGGATTTCAGGACTCATTTCTCGACTAAGAGTGCTTTCGACTGTCCCCTGATGTGATGATTTCTTCAAGAACAATACTTTCCAACGGTTTGGAATTTTAAAACTTTCAGGACACGGCAAAATATTAAAAGTTCTTTCTAGAGCATATTCGCGGAAAAATACGAGACAATCGAAAAAGGAAGTACTGTAGAATTGTACAGTAGATGATTCACCTGCGGAGGAACAGCGGTGGCAGTGGGAGCCTGCGGACCTGGAATCATCCCCGAAGCCATTTCTATGGAAGTTCCTGGCTGTGACACAGGAATAGACTGGCCTGCTGGAGGCCCCTGCAAGGGTACCTGCTGCGCGGTAGCAGCAACGGGTGGTGTCAAAGCTGCAGACGGCGCTTGACCCTGCTGCAAATGCTGTTGATCCAGCATCATCTTTTGCTGCTTTGCGCGGAAGTCAAGCGCCTTCAGTTGTTCCATGTGGAAATGTTGTCGTTCCTGAGCGAGAAATCGGAGATAAAACGTTACTTTCGTTTACGTCTTCTTACTCGAACCACAAGAAGATATTCTTGAGCATTTTTTCAAGTACAGTCAACTTATTTTTAACGACTACGGAAACAATACCCAGCTTTCAACAGATTTTTCAGAGTTGGAACAACATTCGCACGTGAGATCGTTCCACAGACTACACTTCAGCTTATTCATCCATCCGGAGAGATTTTCTTCCGAATACAATATTGTACTGTACTTCCGATATCTCAACCGGGAGTCGCGAGAATCAATGACCCAACCAACATTCAACTCGACAGACACAACCCAGCCTCCTTTCATTTACCTTAAACTAAAAAGCACAGATCAGAATACTGTCTAATAGACAGGTAAATAGTTGAGTTAAATATTAGTTTTATCTGAAAGAATGAAGTACCGTACCTGGAGAAGCAATTGTCTCTGATATTCTAGGGCTTCCCTTTCCCTGTCCATGATCGTCTCAAGCTCTTCGAAGTGACGTAATTTAATTTCCAGCTTCTTCATTTGCGTCTCAACCAGAAGTGCAACGAGAGACTTGATCTTCCTTTCCTCCATAGAGGCCAAATGCTTTGCCTTGACCGCGGCAGAAGACAACGCGGCTGAAGCGGCGACCTGGGGCGAGAATAGATACAAAAATAAGAGAGGTTCTTCGCACAACATTTTTTTTTTCAAATATTAGCTGTTACTGTCTCACACATATTTTTGCATTTGCTGCCAACTAATCTAGAGTTCATTTATACGAATTACGAACTCGCGTGAAAAAAGTAATGCTGAAGAAAATATCAGAAAAGATTCAACACATATTTTATTCACGGAATGTGATGGGGAAGTGCAGCACTACTTTGAGAGGATTGCGATAAATCACGGGGCCCGTGTGAGTTCAAAATGACATTCATAAAAATCGGCCCGATTGGACTTGAGGTTAGTCTTGGAAGTTGGAACAATAATATTTCGAATGCAAAGGGTGTTCCGAATTCTGTATACCAGTCTTCTGACAATCATTCAGAGGCCAAGAAATGTAGAGGGTGAATTTTGGACAAATGTTTTTGAATAACCATCTATCACATAGTTGATGAGGAAATTGAGCCACGAACGAAATTTAGAAATTCGGTCACGTAAGAAAAACGTTTCACGAACTAAAAAAACTAAAAAAATGTGAACTGCAAAACTTAACTAGGCCACCGGGAATGTCGAAGTCGTGATATTTTTATTCGTAGATGCGCTATTTTTCAAGTACAATACTATGATTATTATTGACAAATTAAATACAGTAAAAAGGATTGACATCTTCACAAAATTCCTCAGATTAGAACATGCCAGCCTCCAACATCAAATTAGAAAAAACATTTACAATTACAATGCTGACATTAGATTCAAGTTTAATGAGCTCCAAAATGTTTAAATGGGTTTCAAACGCGGAAAAAAAAAAAATTCCAGTTTCTCACAATGTATGTGTTCCATATGACCATGTTCACACCAACAAACGTGAATAATACAGGTGACGTTGGAAAAGCGTCTATATCTCTCCGGATAATGGAGAAGCTTTAGTTAAAAAAAAATTCCAGTTTCTCACAATGTATGTGTTCCATATGACCATGTTCACACCAACAAACGTGAATAATACAGGTGACGTTGGAAAAGCGTCTATATCTCTCCGGATAACGGAGAAGCTTTAGTTTAAGCAAAATACCTGAAGAACTTTTTCTTTGGCGAGGAGCTCTTCCTCGGTATCTTTTTCGCCATCATTTTCCCCACTCTTCTCCGCATCCTTGTCTCCCTTGCCAGCCTCGTCCGCGGATCGCTCTGCGTCACCTTCCGCCGACGCTGGCTTGTCACTGCCAGTCTTATCTTTTTCGGCAGGATCAACCTGGAAATTTGTTTCACGCGCATTGAAGAAGGGAAGTACAGTACAGTGGTTCAATCATTCTGCTTACCTCGCTGGTATCCATTCTTTCCTGCTCTGATCCTTCTTCGGTCGAAGGCTCTTCTTTGACTTTTACTGCGACATCCGCTGCTCCGTTAACGGGTTTGTCCCCTTTGTCTTCGTCCTTTTTGTCGTCTTTGGCAGCATCTTCTTTCGATTCTCCCGTTCCCGCAAGGCCAGTCTGTAATTCATATTAATTATCAGCTTCTTCTACTTCGATAAAAAAAATCACCGCAAGGATTTGAACTAACCATCGAAAGGCCATATTCGGCGTCCACCTTGATTCCAGATTTAAATGCACTTGAAATATTCTTCATGTGCGTTTGAATCAACGACGCAGGAACTTCCTCTTTGATTTTAGAAAATTCTTCTAGCGCAGCTTTGGAAGCTGACGCAGCAATCCTCGGGTGGTGCGTTCTGCGGTCCTTCCGGTGTCACCTGTAATAGCCTAAGGGTCTAAACCTTTTACCATAGCCAACTATGCGGTTTCCAGGGTTACGAGGCGGCGGACACTTTTTCTGTTAACAAAATATTGATTTCAAAAGATCACACCTGCAGCATGATCGATAAATTCGACTGTCAGTCAATTTTGGATGAAACCATTTAATAACGAACTAGAAAAGAACAGGTTAATTACAAGTTTTCCAAAACATTACCAGAAGAGACTGTGCTGCGAAACAGAGAATCGGGATCATGTAAATTCGTTGCCTAACATTACTTTCTTGGATATTTCAAGACATATTTTTCCTTAAACTAACCTAGCAAAAAAAAATAATAATTCTGAACACGAGTGTACAAAAGCAACCGAACCAAACTCTTGCCGAAGAAAATATGAAAAGATTCAGGCAAAATTTGTGCAATCAAGAAAATCCCGCAAATCGACACACGACATGAAAAACTCGACAGGCTGAACACAGTACAGTACTTTAATGCATCATAACGGGGAGTGATCAATCAAAAGAAATATCAGTCCGTTCTTCGAAAAGTCTAAAAAGTTAACGAAACCAGTTTTCAAACTTACCAAAAGCAGGATCATTCAGATATGGGTCTTCGATTGGTAGACGAATGAAATGCATGATGCATTCGTCTTGAGTTCGTGTCCCCACGTGTTCGCAAACTTTATTCCAGTCATCTCTGTAAAGCTCCAATGCTTCAAGCAACAATAGAGTCTCTTCCTCTGACCACTCACGCGTGGCATTACTAATACTTTTGTGCTTGTTTCCACCAATTTTTCTCGAGTACCTAAAGTGGAAAAATACAGCAACGTTCTATTCAAATGTTTCGAAGCATCCGCTGCCAAAAAGTTTTAAAATTTCCAGCTAGAAACGTTTAAGCTTCCACTAAATGAAGGCAAGAATACCACTCACTGATCCATCTTCAATCCAAACTCGCCAATAACAGAGCTTCTTTCTTCCTTGCCTCCCTCATCTTCTTCCTTAATTTTTTCTCCGTCTTTCCGCGCATCTCCGTCCCCGTCCATGGTATCATCCTTGTCGTCCTTCGATCCCCGTTCATCGTCGGCATCTTGTGAACTCTCATCTCGGTCTTCGTCTCTTTCTTTTTCACGCTCCATCTTGGGCGTTGACGGAGAACGTACCTTATCACGCAAGTCTTTGTCGAAATCCATGAAACTCTTGACAGCTTGTGAAGGTTGAACTGATCTTGGTGGGTTGATTGGTTGAAGGCCTGCAGGGGTATCTGACAACACATGGAAATGCGACGTCGAAGGAGGGCCCATGGTTGAAGGTCTGGCATCACTGTCGACCTGATGACAAGGAATTTCGCGTAGCTAGGTCAAGTGATCCATGGGAGCAAAAATATATCAGTTTTAAAACATCGCGGAGTGTCGAAATGTTGAAACATGGGACGCCAGGGAGGTAAGTGTCGCCGACAATAACCTTATCAGAACGAAATCGAAGCAACTGATTCAAGGCAAAATGATGACAAAAGTGACGCCAAGTGCAAACGAACTCGAACAAAGGTGATATAATTCGGAAGAAACGTATCCTGATGGCAAGTAAGAGCATGATCTTGACAATGAAGATCTTCAAAGCAACAACAAAAAAACTTACAAAAAGTAAAATATATCTCAAACTAAAGGAAGGATCAGCGTAACAGCGCATGAAAGCGACCATTCAACGAAGTCAGACGTGGAATGAATTCTTAGCCAATAATACATTTTCAAATCGATGAATTCCTTTTTTAATATTGCGATAATCTTTTCAATTTGATGGAAACTCACTTGATAGTTGATTATACCCCACTGCTCCAAGAAAGCATGCACTCGCATGATTCCGCACACATCACCAGCCAGATTTCGACGGCAGGCCGTGACAGTCAAATACTCCATAGGATTCAACCGATATGAGTCAACCATGAAATTTCTATACGCCAGATACACTTCTGGCGTTTTAGATCTGTTCTTCCCCATGAAGAATTCAGGCATTGCGCGCTTCTCGATGCAATGTATGCCATTATAGTCGAACCACGCGGCATACGACGGAATGACAATGTGATGCGCCTGTTCCGTCACGTTGTCGTCACTCGTATCCAGTTTCCCGTTCACAGTACCATTTTGGGTGGCATTGCCGTCGACACCACCGGTCTGGGATGCGTTCATGCTCTCATCTACACCGTCATTGGCATCTTCATCCAGGTCAAGATACTGGCCAGACTTGAGTGGCTGAGTATCGTCACGTCTGTTCTTTGCAGGTGTAGCTTCTACAGGCATTGACTCCGGCGTGGGCGCGGATGACTTCGAATCCATATCGAGGTTGTCACGACTCGCATCGTCGCTCTCCGTCACGTCGTCCCCACGACGCTTTTTGTGTGGAGCAGGTGTTCTAGTACTGAATAAAATTTTTTTTGCAATGAGCAACAACAGAATTCCCTCGCCAAAAGCAGCAGCAGCTATCATCCGCAGAGATAATCGAAAAGGCTAACCGTGAATACCGTAAAATAGGAGTTCGAGTTCCGTGAGCAGATCAGAAAAACATCAACGAAGGACGTAAAAATACCCTGATTAGTTTCCAATATTTTCCAAAATTTTCTCAACGTACAACAGTCTCCACTTATTCGAAAAACATATCTCAACTCTTTGAATCCAATAACTAGTAATCGCACCTTTTGAACCTTCATAGCACTTTCAAACCATTCATAATATATGGGGATCAGTGGAGGAGTTTCGGATTAATTTTTCAAGACACTTTCGTTGCACATAGACATGACAGGAACAAGTACATTAAAAGACAAATACTTCTGACGTCATGCGTGAAGAAAACGGTAATGAGTGACGTTTCAGTGGCAATATTAGATTTCATCTATTACCACCAGGAAAAATATGGACGACAGGATATAATCGAAAAAAATTTGCATGATGATCTTAAATCGAAAACCGCTTTCTTGCTGGTAATATAGTCTGAAATGTTGTTTGAACTCATTCGGACATCGAGCAAAACTAAATCTCGTAAACAGAACTGTGGATTGAAGTCGTAGAAATAACCATCTTGGTCATACAAAATTCGTAGCTGGTAGGTTCTAAAAATCCCATGAAAAAGACTTGCTTCAGACAGCCATAATAAGGAAGCAGAGCGCGAGGGCAGAGCAAGATATCGAAAACCCGAGTTCCACGGAAGATCTTATTCGATTCGCACACATTAGCTTCTAAATGATATACCTTTTTCGTTTTCCAGCATGATTTGGTCTTCCTTGAGCAGGAGACGGAGATCTGCGACGCTTGTTCTTCTTCGCTTTCTTATCCGACTCCATTAATGACGTGAACTCTTCAATCGTCATGCGATTTCTCGCGAATCTTTTCCTTCCGTGTTCATCTACTAGGAAGTCTTCTTCGTTCATCCACTCATTATAGCGATCGGTCTCCATGATCCATTCAATCGATACCTGAGCGAGGTTAATGTTCATGTATCATCAAAAGAACCACAAAATTTTTCGATACGATCTTCTCCGAAAATTCAATTCCGAAGAAATATTGACGAACGCAGTCGAAGTAGATATGTTAGAACAATGCCGAGTAGACTCCTAGGTGGAAGAATGCTCCAAATTTGAAAGTACTTCAGACATGCACACTACATGATCCAAAATAATCGGACTTGATTTTCGATCTGATAGCATCACATTCTTTCATTGAATATCATCTCGTGGCACGCGCTTACCACATAGTCGCGCTCTATGCACAATTAAGGTGAAGGATGTGAAAACATCCACAGCAGTGCATTTCGACAAATTAGTCACGAACAGATTGAGCTGGAAAAAGTTAATGAAGACGGCTATCAATAACAGATTTCGCATCCAATTTTTGCTAGGAAACAAAAGCGAAAATTTCAGTCATTTTCGCAGAAGAAATCTTCTGAGAAAAGATTAAGAGAGGTTGTTCCCATTCTTTTAGGGGAATTAAAAGAACAGCGATGTTTTCCAGACTCATCAATCATTCCATCGATGCCGTGCAGCAAAACTCCTCGCAAATCGTGACCAAAAGTCCCGGGAACGAAAATTGTCGGTACAGTTCTTACATGCCATGGTTTCTCGCGCTGCAGAGATGGAAGAATATCCGGAATACTATCCAATTCTGCATCTGGACTGGCAGCAATCCACGAATCATGGGAATCCGGCAGTCCAGGCCAGTGGATCATAATATGATTCTCCCCACGTCGAAGAACGGGCCGAAGACAATCGTGTTCTTCCGCGGAATGATTCCCGACTGGTCCATGAACCACGTGCGTCGCGTCTTTCTCGTCATCTGAGCAAATTTAAATGCAGTTGTCTCATTTAATTTCGTTAACGGACGAATTGATGATTTCGATATTTATCAAAAATGCGCTCAACTCAAAAACCTTTTCACATGAAAAATTTTGAAACGATTGAGACGTGTTCATCACGTACCGGTCAACGCTCCTTGATGACGTTTCACAATTTCGCGAATCCTATGACCAAGGCTCTTTTCCACGTCTGGAGTGATGAACACAACAGGCATAACAATCCACTTATTGTGGATCAAAACCTTTTCGATGTGCATGAACATTTCCACGTTTCTATCCATTCTCGACGGAGATTGTAGGTCTATACGACGCCATCCCTGATCAAGCTTGAATTTGTATGCGCTGGCCAGAACGTGACAAAGCGATCCATTCGTCGAGAAATCCAACAGGCACCTCATCTGTGCAAAAACCAATATAAATAACAAATGCGTCGAAGCTCACTCTGAGGACTTCATACCGGCAGCCTAGTGAGAGGCGGCTTAGACACGCTCTTCCCAAAATTTTCCTCTTGGAATTGAATAAACTGGATTATCTGGGCCGCAAGAGATTTGTTAGTCGGCGGATCTGCTTGAACGAACTGGAAATGAAGAAGTAAATTTTTTTTAGGATCAACGTCCGTCTTCGCAGTCCAATCTACGCACCTTCTTGCAATTTTTTTGAATCCATACACGAACAGGTTCAAGTGCATTGACGATATCTGGGGCTTCCCAGAATTTGGAAACTGGTCCACCGTCTCTCCGAGGCGCCAACGCCATAATTACAAATGTATTACCTAAATGCAAGCAAACAGACGTGAACGAAGAAGGCCATCATCTCAACTTGTCACTCGCGTTTAAAACTAGGAATAGTTTGGAAATAAATTTTTCGCGAAGGCATAAAGATAAATACGACAAGCGAGACGGGGAAACCTCAAACACATTGCCATTTTCTGATGCCACCCAATGACACACGAAGTGCTCCTATGCCAAAATTTGTGGCACTTGTACAGTAGAAAACGAAAATTCCTCATTTCCGCATCTCTTAGATGTCGAACTAACGCCTTCTTCATCACGACCCTGATCGGTTGCAGACCACTGCTCAACTTGAACGGTTGCAACACTCGAACATCAGCAAACTTGAACGTATGTAATTTCAGGAGAATCACGAGGTAATACTGAAATCTAAAATCCATCCTTCCTTCGTTTCGATCGCAAAATAATTACGCAAGAGACATCAAGCATAAAAAATTATCGCAGAGTACAGAAGAACAATCACATGCATCACGAATAGTCAATACTTTCGCACGGAACGCTTCCACCATTAACTTATTCCTTGTCATGAAACGATGCATCCCTTAAGCTTCTTAAAGATCACCCGAACCGGTGCGGCCTCGCGGACGATCAGTCCCGCATCAGACCGTGACGGTGGGAAGGTGCACCAGGCGTAGTGGACGCGAACGTTCGCAAAACAGTACTGTATGTCTGTCAATACTGCATATCATATGTTTTTTAGAGAAAATGGTACCGCAATTCACAGTAATTTTTTCCCTTTCACGCTAGACTTGACCATAAGCTGCTCAATTTCGATAGAGCACTCCGATCTTCTACAACTAGGGACTCTCCTTTCCAGATGTCACTTCATTGAATGCATTAACTTATTTAAAAACAACTGTATATACGGTATGGTACAGTACATGGTTACATGGAACAGTTTCAGAAGCAGGTATGTCGCCAATTTGAACAGGAAAAAAACTACAGTATGTTCGAGCAGAAGCCTTCATGGATCAGATATGAAATTACAGAACACGGTAATTGTTAGACGCTTTCATGCAGACTGCCAAATCTATCTTTCAAGTTCACCAGCCCAATTTGAGTTCGGGCTTCGAGTCGGCAGAAAGCCAAAAACCGAACGCTGCTTGAAGCATTCGATTTATTTTCAAGTCCACGACTCAGAGGGTTGCTCGTCTTGCGGCAGGTGACCATCTCCTCCGGGAACTCACGAATCCCACTCCTGAACCAATATTTCTGGGGGGAGGGGCTTAAATGGACTCCTGAAATTAGTACAGCGGATGAGAGTCGAAACTTTCGCTGAATCAATTGCTGAGCTGAAATTCTCGAACGTCTTTGGAATCTTTCCATGTGAATGATTGAACTTCACATATTGTTCTTTGTCGAGGTGGTACATTTACTTTGATAACGGCAGAGTTCTGGAAAGTTGCTACATTCGAGATTCGGGAGTTAAGATGGCTCGCCGCGTCGTCGTCAGAGTGGATTTTGGGCGCGTTTTGTACGTTGTGAGCCAGTGAGTGTTCGGATGATGCGTAATTTTTTCCTGGGATTGTGCAGTTTTGAATCACTTTAATCGAGGAATGTTGCCGAAGCCTGCAGGTGATCATGCTTTTGACCATTCCTTTTTATCGGTTCCATACAGGCCTTGAATTCTGCATAATTTCTTGCCGCAAATATTTGGCTGTCGCACCAATTCGCGTGCGCGTAATTTCAAATGAACGGAATGGACCACGGTGATACGCACGAGCGTCTGGAGACCATAAAGATCGAGAACAGTAATAGTTCGGGAGATGAACCGAAAGAGAAATCGGTCGAGAACCTTAAAGCGGAGGAAATGACGTCCAAGGATTACTACTTCGATTCGTATGCCCACTTCGGTATTCACGAGGTACGGTTCATGTTATGCTGTTATTTTGCGCTGTGTATCATTGTGTCTCACCTGACAGGAAATGTTGAAAGACGAGGTTAGGACGCTTACTTACCGCAACGCTATGCTGCACAACAAGCATTTGTTCGCCGGGAAAGTCGTTCTAGATGTAGGTTGCGGTACAGCCATATTATCTATGTTCGCCGCCAAGGCTGGAGCCACAAAAGTCATTGGCATCGACTGTTCCAACATAGTGGATCATGCGAGGACCATAGTTGAGTCGAACAACTTGGATCATGGTGAGGAATATTCCTGAATTTACTTCGAGCCTTGGCAGAGAATGGCTTCAGTCAGCTCCTTACGGCGAGACTGTATCCTGTATTTTCGAAGCCGTGAGATGCGATAGCCGATTTAATTCTAATTTTTCGTCGAACTCTCGTGTCTTGTTGAGTGTCACTTACCGTCACGATTGCTGTTACGTCTTACGTTTGAAACTGTCATCATTTTTTCACCTTCACAGTCGTAACTGTGATCAAGGGGAAGGTTGAGGATGTTGAACTGCCGGTTGAGAAAGTGGACATCATCATCTCAGAGTGGATGGGATACTCCCTGTTTTATGAGTCCATGCTTGATACTGTGCTTTTTGCCCGTGACAAGTGGCTGAAACCCGACGGCATCATGTTCCCTGATCGAGCGACGCTTCTCCTTTGTGCGATTGAGGTGAGTTCGATTCATCAATTTTAAAGTGTGCGCTTGTTTTCCGTCAAGCTGATCTAGCATAATTTTGTCGCAAGTATAGGATGGGCTGCTTAGTCTGCGCACAAGTCGATTAAGTTGTGGAGCCTGTATTAATTTACCAGCTTTTTCGAAGATTTCGAAAGGATTGTAGGAGTCATTTACTCATGTGACGAAGTTTTCTAATTTATTTTTTATGGTTTTCAGGATCGTCAATATAAGGATGACAAAATAAATTGGTGGGATGACGTGTATGGGTTTGATATGAGCTGCATCCGCAAAGTCGCAATTTCTGAACCACTTGTGGACGTCGTGGATCCGAAGCAAGTCGTAACCAATTCGTGCGTGGTGAAGGACGTCGATTTGTACACCGTCAAGCCTGAAGACTTGAGCTTTGAAAGCAGCTTTCAAATCCAAGTGCGACGCAACGATTATGTTCAAGCTTTCGTCTCATTTTTCAATGTCGAGTTTACGAAATGCCACAAGCGCATGGGATTTTCAACTGGTACGTCTTAATTGAAAAGAAAAGAGAGGCTTTGTGTATACTCTTCGAATCACTTGATGCGCTTTTCTGTTCAGGGCCAGAACAACCTTATACTCACTGGAAGCAAACTGTCTTCTATCTGAACGACTACCTGACGGTGAAGAAAGGTGAAGAGATCACCGGCAAGTTTTCGTGCAAGCCGAATAAGCGTAACAAGGTGCGTAACAAAGATCGCAGCTTTACTTCGGAATTACTTCTTTTCTGAACGAATAGGCTCATTCAACTTCGGATTTCGCTTCCTTATTGCTATTCCGAGATTTAATTATGAATGGATTCGTTTTTTTTCTGCTCTTAGTCGTTCTCATTTTCCGAGATGGACAACGCATAAAGTATGAGATAGCGAAAGTGTGAAGTCTCCGAAGAGCAATTTTCAAAGCGTCGAACGCTTGAACTGCGTGCATATGTACAGAAAAGCAACTACACCGAAGAAGTATGCGTAACTTAATCCAAACCAACCTAACCCAAACATATCAATGTCGACTAACCTTGGAAACTGAACGATTACGCGGTACTTCAATTTATTGAGAAATGATTGAGTCGAGCAAGGGTTGATTGAATGCTAACTACTGAGTTAATATAGTTTAATGTACGGTTGCCAGCGCGTCGGGTTAGGTCCAGTATCGTATTGCAAAATTTTATGTCATTGTCCAATTTACTGTACTTCGAACATTGTCCTATGTCTCCGTCATGCTCTAATACAGCCCCAAACGTTTAGACAATGTTCTAAAAATTTCCCTCTGGTGGTCATGCTTTTCGATACCTTCTCTTTAGTGCACTATTGATTTACATACAGTATTCGTGCTCTGTTGAAACTTTCCTGGAATTTTTCCGGAAATACAGAAAATTTGTTTCGATTTCTGCAAAAGCTTTATGAAGCAGGTTGAGTTTTAAATTTTTCATTAGCTAGCTGTTTTTCCCTCCTTCGAGTCACTAAAGATGAAACTCATCGCTTTGCATAAATTTTTTCGTATTTCCCAACAGAGAGATTTGGATTTCCGCGTTGAGGTTGAATTCAAGGGAGAGCTGTGTGAGCTGAAAGACGCTGTCGACTACAAGATGCGATAATCTGCAGAATTCTCAGCGAAAAAGTCACGTCCTTCTTTCATGGTCCTTTTGGTTTTAACCCATGTCTGGGGTTACCCAGGGTCGGTTTGATTTCAAATACGGCGTATCTCGGTTCTATGTTTTTGTGTTTTTTTTTTGCCGCGGTCCGCTGTTTTGTACTTGGCTTCCTGTGCTGGATGCGAGGCGTGCGAGAAGGATCACTGCGGTCAGAACTGAAACCTCGCATGGAAATAATTTCGTGTCTTCTTTCTTTCATGCTACCGTTTATCAGGGCTTATGATTTCAAAGACTCACTTGTGAGGATTTTCTTTGGTTTCGTAGAGATTCTTTGTGAAGGACTTGGGTCATTGACGCAGAGCGCGTGATGGATCTTCTGGATGTCGACTGGAAGATCAACGGTGAGCACAGCGTACTTAAGCGGGCTTCATGAGTACCGTAAATCATTCTTCAATATTGTCAACCAATTTTAACTTGCGAAAGTTGCATACTTCGCTCTGTAGTATTCATGCGAATGCCAAGGTTCAGTTGGGTGAGATAGAATTCTTCGGGTTGTATGTGTTATGTTTGATTTGATTAGCCGAATAGGGTTCATTAGTTCATGCAGAATTTGACTGCTGAGGTTATTTTACTTATTTTGTGAATACAGTATTGATTACACCAGTCGGTACCGTAAAAGCTTGTGTTGGTAACCCTGATACCGAAAAGCTTAATTCCAGCACCTGCTTCCCCTCCTGACAATGAGGTGGGCCGATTTGCTGTGCTCACCAAGCATCCTTTCTTCAAGTCCAAAATAGAACCAAAGTGACCTTTTGTAACATGGGTATCAAATTTAGTTGGTCTTGATTATTTTAATTTCGCGTATCCGGTGCTTGTAGTCTGATGATAGGTTGGTTGGTGCGAAATTAATCTACGGTGGTAGCTGTTCATTTCAGTACAGTTCGGTCTGAAATTTCTGTATAGTTAGTGGTTGATGCAATGTCAGCATCGGCTAACAAATAATGTACCGATCAAAGTTCGTTGTGTATTTAGAAATAATTCTTTCAAATTCTTTATTTAGTAACTGGAGCCACGACGTACCAGAAACAAGCATCCGGAAGTTCTGTACAACTTCTGATCACGTTGAAAAATTCTGTGGATGGCTCTGTGAAAGAAGAATTCCTGGAAATGAGCGTGGAGAAATTGTATTCCCTTTTACAAAAGGTGGAAGAGACGAACGTTGCCATGAAACTGTGATGTCGCATGTCGGCTTGGTTGGAATTATCTTTCCCGGATCCGCTTCGTATTTCCGGATATTGTGATGAATGTGATTGCCCAGTGGATTTGATGGAAATCAATATAAATCCTTTTATTCGTGAGTAAACAGTATTTGTATTTTTGTTTCAACAAATTCGTCATTCATTTCAGCGAACAACAGCGCTTTTGAGGATCGGATTTTTGGTAAACAGCGAATAAATTATCCCGACAATAACTTACAGCACATATTGGCCAGAATCAGTGGTAACCACAGAGGAGCGCATGGCTAATTTTCCCCAAGGAAGTTCACAGCCTAGCTCGCAACAACAGTTGGGGGAAAAAAATATTCCGAGCGATTAAACCGCTTCAACGTTTCATCCGTACTTGAACTTTAACAACAACAGCAACAAAATTGGGAACTCCGGGGAAAGAAAAAGAGCCTGACGAGCAGACGGAAACTGAAGTTCGCGATTAAGGCGGAGGAAACAAAATGATAATAAATAACTCGTATCGAGAACTCAGAGGCAATTTTGGCAGAGAGCGTTTTGATCGGTGCTAGAGGCAACTTCGCGGTAGTGTCCCATGAAGCCGGAACGCTGATCGCCTTTGTTTCCGGTGTCTTCGTTGGTGTGGAAGTGGACGAGCATCTTGTTGCAGTTGGAAGTCATGCATTCGTTAGCCCTGGAGTTGTCTCCTGTCAGGAGGACGATCAAGTTCTCATCCCGGGCGACGCAACCGTCGTAAATCTGCAAATAAGCGCATTTCATGAAGCTCATCCACCATTTTGAGACTTGGTAACGCTTTGTTTGATAAAGTAAAGTATCGTCACAACTTCCATTACAACAAAATGTTCAGTATGACAAGCCCCCCCCCCCCCCCAGTACATGTTGAAACAATCTCATTCTACCGAACTTCCCAATTCTAGTATGAAATATTTCTTCGAGGAATGTTCAGTAGGTTCTCCATTTATGAATTTCCTGACTAAGCCTGGCACACGTTTGGAATATCCAATCCCAAATGTGACTGACAGGTTCTTGCAGCATGGATGGACATTGTAATCAATGTCAAACATGTTTCCAAGTGGTTCCACACCTCATACACCCCAAATGAAGAGATTGGTGCATGATGGAATGCATGATTGAAGCCACTTGTTTTTAAGAAGATCACTCAAACAACGATACAAAATCCAGGAATGCCAGGAAAGCAAGATCTAATTGATCATAGGGAGGTCTGATGTGGAAATAATTTCCAGTCATTAATTTTGAAAATGTTATTAAAATTATTCAGTATAAGAAATTGTTTCTGAAAGCCTCAGAAGTTTGTTATTATGAGATTTCTGTATTTCATGTAATTACCTTTGGAATTATATATTTGGAACTACGATTTTCCGGGCTTTGATGCACTCAGAAAACATTTTATTCATTGCGAGGTGGTGAAGCAGCCAGTGCAATTGCATTTTCAGCGGTTTCACAATTTTTTATTTCCTCTGATCAACGTGAATCATCACCTCCTAATCATTGAAATATTGTCTTCGTTAAACTCGGTTTTTGTTAATTTTTGATGCTGGATATCGGTGATGCATGATCGGATTATCCGCGTTTATGGACTTAAAGATTTGCGGGACTCTGGTGATCTTGCTATTTTCATAGACTTTCTTTCATAGAAAGAAGTTTTACGATTAAGAAGAAGTTTTTTACGATATTCGATTAATCAGGCGAAGATGCGTTGTCACTATCCGAAATGATAGTTCTTTTTATTGTAGAATAGAAGCTGAAGTACTGTACATCAACCGAAAAATTCTAAATATTTACTGGAAGCATCGCAAAACCGCGCATTGAACAAAAATAAGTTGACTGCTTCGATTTAATTCAATAAACAAAATATGAGTGTTCACAAGCGTCGGTTGAATTTTAGTTCTATTTTAGCTTTTTTCTTCTCTACCTTGATGTAGTCGCATTTCGCTCCGCAGTGAGTCTCCAAATCGATCCAGTTCAAGTGAAGGTTGACTTTCCGCCCAACTCCACCTTCGAGGCAGTAGAAGGTGTCCTGGCTTGCGGCATAGTCATTCGGCCACAAGGGAGACTTGATGGTGTCCTTCTTGGAGCTTACTCCGACAGCTTTGAAGTTTTCTGAAGAAATTTTCCAAGAAAAGGATTCAAAAATCTGTCGTAAGTTAACGTATTTACTCGAGTAAAAAGCGCAACTCAAATTTTTAAACATAGAATCGGCACACAAAAAACCTATGCCCGTGTATGATGCGCACCCAAGTTTTCTTTTTTTTTGTTTAAAAATATTTATTTTTTTCCTTCGAATACTGTAATGGTGTTTAAAATAATAATCATGTGAATATCGTAATAATTTGAAGAATTGCAAGTGGATAATTACCACTTTGATTTCCTGTTCGTAATTTTAGCACCACCGATTTCCTGATTTTCGTTTTTCCATAAAATTTATACCCGAATACCATGCGCCCTCCACTTTTCTGCCTCTTTTTGTTGTTGCAGAATAAAGGTGCGCGTGGTACTTGGGTAAATGCCGTTAGTATTTCTAAAAGTTTATTCAAAATCCCAACGAGTCAAAAGACGTTCCGCTCAATTTACCTCAAATTCATCATCATTTTCACAGCTGTAATTTTTTTCCATGGAGTTTACTGACGTGACAAAAAAGAAGAACTGCGAGACCCTGAAATGACCCACCAATGCAAGTTCCGTTGCAGAACACGTCTGTGCCACCGAGACAAGAGTCCTTTGTTGGGCAAGAGTAGCAACTGTCGACTGGCTTGCAAGCCCCATCAGCTGCATTAAACTTGTATCCCAAGTTGCACAAGCACGTTCCATTGAAGCAGAGTGTGTTGGGTGCTCCAGCAGTGCAGTCAGCGGTGAATTCGCAAGTTTCACCAACCCTGCGTCCTATAAAAAAGAAAATGAGCAAATCAAGGAAGAAATTAATAATGAGTAATCCTGAACGAGACAATGACGAGCGGTGATGCTGATGTGAAAGTTCCAGGACACCGTGTTGCCCTCTTCTTCAGTGTGGTCATTATTCCATTTTCTATCATTTTTCCATCATGTCCCAGTGAAAGAATGAATACCGTATTTGTTCAAGTATCACCTGCACCTTTTTTCTCAAAATTGAAAGGAGAAAAAAGAGGGTGACTGTCATAGGTGGGTATAATTTTTTCAAAACGTTATAGGAGTTTGGATGTTTATTATACGGTATTTTATTTTATTTTTTGGATAAGTTCAACAGAGAACCTACTCTAATATGGCAATGATTGTAATAAGATGAATTCAGGTTGAATTCATGGCTAAATTAATACATGGGTGCTCTTTTTTTTTAAATATTGCAGTTCTAGAGTCACTGAAAATAGGGTGTGTGTTTTGCTTGAGGATACAATCTCATCAAAATTTTAGACTTGAAAATCTGGGTGAACATCTTAATGAAGGGTGCATCGTACCTGAGTAAATATGGTACTTCCGTAAAATTTTATTACGACAGTCATTGCGATGGAGCAGTAAAAAACTTGGTTGCTAGTAGAAAATGCGTTGTAAATTTAAATAACCTTGCGGCTCTTCGACAGGTCCTTGAAAAGTGGGTTCCTTTTACCCAATAATTTACTAATATTAATTTTTTACCGTTAATTTATTTGCTCTACGGTGAGACAATTCATGGAACCAGAAAAAATATTTGTAAAGATAATTTTGTTGTAGCGAACCCTTTTAATAAGGGGTAAGATATCTCAGGGACCGCGAACAATCGTTATGAATAGAGAATCGTTGCAGAGAGAGCCCACCTGTATGTAATGAGATTTGTTTTAAACTTGTAATGATGAGTTTCTACTGTAGTACTGTCTCTGACACAAAATAGTACTGGAGTCAGTGAACCGATTCTGTGTTGGAGTCTTCCATTCGATAAGACGAACACAAGGCTGTTTAACGTTCAGCTCGCAGAGTTGGATTTTCTAATTCTTACTTTCTCAATTCCAGTACAGTACTTCAAATTGTTCTTAAAAATAAAGTAAAGAAAAACTTGATGTATATGAGTCCCATATAGCTTTCACGATTGGTGGTAAGAAAAAATCTAATGAGTTTTGCTGAATTTTTTCATTATTAGTAGAAAACGTTACCTTGGTTTTCTAAAGTCAGTACTGATTACGGACTAGGACTTGATCGATCTTATTTATTTTTCGAATTACAAAAGACGAAAAACGTATTCCTTGGGATTTGAATGCTTATTATCATTGCATGTTCGGAAGTTGGAAAGTACTTGAATGCTTTTAAAATTTTTGATTCGGCCTGTGCATGATAGATTCAAATATTGTATGATCGGAGAACGGATTTATTTTATTCCGTAGCTATACTAATGCCTTGATAAGTTGGTAAACGACTTTAAATCTTCTCAGCATAACATGAAAGGGGAAATAAAGTGACCAGGTCTTATTTTCTATTGGTAATATGGGTTACATTTGTTTAGCGCGGTGCCGAAAAATGAGGCTTAGGTTCACTGAATGACTCAATCAATGTTGCTCTTGGGAAAATACACAGAATGTCAGAGAGCAGATGAACAAAGGTTTGCAGCTGCAAGAGGAGAAACGGGAACATCACTTTGAAACTTGTTCGCCAGCGTGATGAATGCGTATAAATTGTTTGTTTTTTTAATAAAGAAGTTTAATGAAAACAGTTGGTCAGCCTGCGTAAATCCCTCGATGGCGTGAGCACTTACTGACAGTAGTCCTCTGGACGAGGTTGTTGAGAAAATTGTTGGGCCTGAACCAGGACAATCCTTGGAACGACGGGAACAGCTGCCGCTCATCATTGGCAGCCACATCCTCAATCACTTCAGCCTCTTGTGCGATCGCCAGCCCCAGGGAAAGGAGCAAAATTGCCAAATACCTCAGCTGCATTGTGTTTCTGCCTGCAGATGAAGAAAAGAGTGAATAAAAAAGATACGAAGAGAAAACCGCGAGGCGCCAGGCATCCATCAACAACAACTTGATGTGGGTCAAGATAAACCAAAGGATTGCTGATGACCAACATTTCTCAGGAATTTGGGTAAACAAGCCCCCCGAGCTGACGAGGGGAGTTCCGTGAACTGAATATTGTTGATGGGAAATTCTCGTGGTTTTAAAA